GTAGGCGTGCATTACATTGAACAGTCTCATTTAAGACCATTCCATGGTTCATCATTGTATTATAAGACTTCTCTTCATTTAGAAACACTTATGGTGGAGAACCACAAAGGCATTGAGATAATAGTTGTAAAACTATCCACGGATATACATATTGTTGAACTATATAAACCCCCACAAATTATGGTGAAAACCTTGATTGAAGCACTGGACACAGCAAGGATAGTAACAACTTCTTTTACAAATACCATCATACTTGGAGACATTAACATCAATGTTATGACACCTGAACATAATCTGATAATAAGCTATCTTTCCAAATATGGGATGAAGCAAATAAGTACAGGCTATACAACAGACCTTCGAACAACCATAGATCACATTTATACCAATTGCAAATCTGACAATGTCCAAGCAGGTACAGAAGAAGTGTACTACAGTTACCATAGTGCTATATGGGTTGCATTAGATTGAATTCCTGGAATTTAATCATTCAGCTTACACGCCCTACCACTGAGCTACACGAGTGGACTACCAGTATCATAAGTAACATTAATTAATCAAAAGTTCTGACCAACCAATTGATATACTTACTGTGTTTATGTTGACAGGTACTAAGTACTGTAAAATACTATGTACCATGACTTAGTGAATCTACTGGAACTACAAGCAAACCTATATATTATATCATTTAAATGGATACAAATCTGACCTTATCAATATGGGACAACTTCATCACAGTCACCATCATGCCATATTGATTTCATTTGAGGGACTTCAGTATTTAATATTTGATCCAACAGTGGTTAACATCAGCTCAGATGAAACAACAAAATGTGTAACATCAGCCAGTTGATCAACCTACTCTGATTGTCTCTACAGGTATCTTAAGATTATGGGTAATTCTGTAGATTGGGTTAATTTGGTCACACTTTATTTTGACCAAGGCAAATGGAAAAATCAACAATTTTGATCTTTAACCAAAACTTTCCTGGGAATGTTTGTCACCATAGTTTAATGGAAACTGAGATATAGGAACTATTAACCAACCCCAGGTGTCCACCAAAATAGGTATGTACCAAAATTTAGAAAATTGGAAATTCACCAAATAAAATACTGTCAAAATAACCTAATCTACAGTAAGTATTTTTCCTCTATTTCTAATTATTTTGCTACAGTCATGTTTCTTACTCTGGGCAAATAATGTATTAGGTAATTAATAAAAACACAGAAATAAATTCTGCGCTAAGGGCTGATGTGAAAAAGTCAGACCACTCTAGTGTAAATCTTCAAAAGTGTATAGACAGTACAATGTTTGTACTGTGCCAAACGATCCTGAGACTGAAACATTTCTGGCATTTGGACACTTTCAACCTCAAATGACATGAAATGTGACTCCTAGAGTAATCACCAATTTTGCATGTTTTATACCTGTATACATGTTTAGCTTTTATCAAAATTTGGTACATAGTACCAAATTATGAGACTTATGCTTATACTATTTAACTTTTGATCACTATAATATTGTGTGCAACTAGTTTTAACTTGCTTCAGATTGAACAATTTCTTTTTTCAAAATCATCTACAAGATCCCAGAAGCTCAAATCTTCAAAAACCTTCTTAAGGTCAAAAGGTATTTTCCAACTTGCTTTAAATTTACCAAATTGTTTTAGGTGGTGACATTTTGTCATGTTAATGCCTTGTATGATATTTGCTATTCATTTGTAAAAATGCCAGCCATTTCTGTTCGATGGGATTCGCTACGCTTTGGCGTTGCCGTTGTTCTGGTTTAAATCATGTCTTGTTTATTGATAACAATTATTCACAGTTATGATTTTTTCATTTGAGACATGACAATGTTTTACACTCATATATCTGTACTGTAGAGACCTATTAGAAAATGCAAGAAAAACAGCTCATATCCAGAAAAGTTATTTTTTCTATTTTATTGCACCCTTTGGTGCTTTAAGTTTGATTTCAATGAACTAGATCCAGTGACAATCTTTGGGATGGATCATTATTGTTTCAACAGTATCTGAGTATAGGAAGTACCTATGTGACACCTTTTAATCAAATCGGAACTGACAATTTCAGTTAAAATGACTACCAACATTTTTCGGTTGTTTTATTAGATAGTTAGCCCTTAAATCAAGACTTCGCTGGTGAACCTTTTCACACATAGTAATTTTTCACCAAAATAATCTTGAAATTATAAAATACATGCATAGTTTCCACATGTGACTGTATGATTCAAAATGCAATATGGTAGATGTAGTGTGGTTGCCTAATATATGTACATACTTATTGTGAACCTGCCCTTAGTCTCAAACCTTAATCCACAAGTCGCTGAGACAGTTGAGATATTGTTGTGTGTGGTTACTGTGTAAATTGAACCAGTATCCATTAAACATGGTGAAAGACGTCAAATAGACATCGTTATAGCATGTAATATATCATGTATGGGCACAATTTATCTTGATGTTGAAAATTGCAATAGTATAAAGATGGCGCTTGAGCTTATAATGGAAGCTGTGATTGTGTATATAAACTTTGGAGGTACAATCCCGACCCCATCATATCATTGACTCGTTGATGGTGTCATTAGCTTACTGAGGTGCTTTCATTTTCTAATGCATGTAGATTCTCACTTTTATCTGTGATGTAACGGGCAAACAATTGTATGATGGGGTTGGGTGGAACCTCTGAACTTGTAATTTGTAAGTCTATATGCTGAATATAAATGCACATAAAGTATTGTAAAAAGCTTAAATATGATTGATATAAATTATAGGATTGAAAAATATATTATCATTTGTGTAATAAAATTGAAATGATTTGTTTTTGTTATTGAAATGTTCAAATTATGTAGAAGAGTAGGATTAACCATATCAACCTTGTCAATTTGAATTGTGTTTATTGTTTAACTGTCCGTGGTAGTGAAAGAACAACCTTCATTTTGTTAGTTGAAATGTTTTTAAGCAAAATAATTTAAATGAATGGCAAGTCAACATTTTTAAAGTTTGATATTGGGAACTTACAGTGAAATTTACTTCATTTTCCCACAAAACATTAAAATACCATCCTACTGCCATAGTGGTTCTCTACTTGTAAATCCATGCTATATACTTATTAACTCTGTAATTTCATTGGTATTGCAAGGTGTCCGACTTCTTTCACCTCTTTTCCTCGTTAGTTTGAAAATTGAAGATGAGTATCAGAAATGTCCATATATAATAGTCAGTAACAACAAATCAATGCTTAATATTGACAAGTGGTGACATTATTTTTTGGCCAGCATTCAGTGTAACAATAAACCCTGCCACCTTTTGATAATCATAGACATATACAAGGTGGGCCAAAAAACCAATAAACAAGTTTAAAGATGAATGATTCATATGATATACTATGAGGTTATATAATGGTTGATTCCGTATATCGTATTTATACTCAAGTGAGTATATAATATATTCACGAGTGACTGAAGGGAACGAGTGAATATATCATATACTCACGAGAGTATAACGATATACAGAATCAACCATTATATGATCTTATTATCCCACCCTAATCTTTAATCAATAAAAGGTTAATCTAAATTCAACAGTTGTATATCAAGTCGAAGAGTTGTATACGCTGCCCAGGCGTTGTATACGCTATCCAGGAGTTGTATATCGTTCTCAAGAGTTGTATACGATGCGTGTTGGTTTTATATTGCAGTTATACAATGCTATTATCCAATCATATAAAGCACTTAGGGTAGGATAACATGTATTATATATCATTTAAAGATAAATCATTTCCTTACAATTTGACACTATCCGATTGAAAGAACTTTGTCTTATGGAATTAGACACTAGGATGTCGTGAGCAATGAGCAAAAATAAAACATGGTGAACAATATCGCACCCTTGAACAGAAGATAAAGAAGTGTTAATGCACAAAAGTTTGTCAATATTATAGTAATTGTGTAGAAAATTGTACTAATTTTGCACACATCAGGGATAACTGGTAGGGTGATTTCAACCTATGCTTGGATCAGGGATATGGGAATCTTAAGTATATTGATGTATAAATGGTGTCCAAATGCAAAATAGAGGTTGTAGATACTTTGTAGCTGCTGGAAGAGGTGCTAGAACGAACTCAGCTCAACTCAGTCATAACCATGATAGTGAGTTCGAGACGTGTGAGCTCCTTGTGTTTATTCATTCATAGGTAGAAACATCCTTGAGAATTTCAAATGAATCCCTCAAACGGTTTGGCTGGAAACCTGTAGACAAGCCTTGACAGACAAGATTTTAGAACAGAAAATCCAAAATGGCCGCCTTAACATTTACCCAGATTGCCGAAAAACTAATCAGTTCTAAACTTTCATAGGTAGAAACATCCCTGAGAATTTCAAATGAATCCCTCAAACAGTTTGGCTGGAAACCTGTAGACAAGATTATTCGGGACGCCCACCCAACCGCCTGGCAAACTGATTACAATATAGCACCTTAAGGTGCGATAAAAATGATAATTCCCTAAAACACAATTCATAGTTAATTCAAAAGTACAAAATGTACCTCTTTTGAAGGTGCCTAAGTTCAAATTTCCCTCAATTTTCCACAATGTGGAAATCAGCACTGAATGTTATGACACCCCTTGTGTCAATTTTAGCCTAGAACTCCACAAGAAAACAACAATTTTTCAATTGGATGGTATCATATTGTTAGGAAATGATTTATCTTTAAAATTATATATAATACCTGGCATGATAGAACATATATCATATGATAATCATCCTTAAACTTGGGTATTGTTCAATTAACCAATATATCATAGTTTCTCTGATTATTGTATGGATTTGCATGTGGTAACAATCATTCTGTCATATTAATGCCTTGTAGCCTATTTTGAATTCCTGATATCACTGGATGAAAAGGCATGTGTATGCTGGGAAGGAAAATTGAAACATAAATTCAACATATCATCTCAGTATTCCCAATAAAACACAAAATAGGGAGTTTTTAGTTTATACATTTATTGCTTACATCTGATTTACAAACATGAACTAAATCATACTAATTGAAAACAAGAATGAGATATTTTATTTATATATCTGTGGAGCTAATTTGGCAATTTACTTGGAAGGTTACATTGCTGCAGACATGAATGCCAATTGGTGCATTGTCATTTCAAGTTGCCACTTCCCATTATACATGTACAAATGTATACACAAAATTACAAAAATATACTATACAACACAAATGATTTCAAGGGAAACGTCACTGTTACCCCATAGTTCATTATTAAACTTTACAATAAAATCAGTGTCGAGCCCAGTATTTAATAAGCTGCCTTAATTACACAATTATTTTCTTAATTCGTTTTACTAGAGTGAGGACTAGTGATGCCAATTGCTATACATATTTTAGAAATGATATTTATAACCTGTGCGAACTGAGTGCTGGAAATGAGCAAGTCAGAGACTGTTAGACATTATTCAAAACTATCATGAATGATGAATTAATACATGATAATTTGCAGTGTTTTTCAAATACTGTCCATGACTGATATTTTGTCCTATTGTTGCTGTTCTATGCCTTGGTGATTCCAATGACTCCACAAGCTCCTCTTCCCCCTGCATTACCAGTTGTAGAACTGAGTTCATGTCCCCCAAGGCCCAAATCATCTACTCCATCATGAACCTGAAACAGAGTAAATCTACACATTTTGGACAATGTAGGATTGTAGGTATACATTTTCTTGTACATGTACATGCAAATAGAATAATACAAAATCATTGATCATTGTTCATGCAGTTCTCTGCAATTGCATGGTGCTGTGCCGTGCATTTTAGCATGCCTTTCCTATATATAAGACATTGGGATCCTGAATGAAAGAATTCCCTATTTTGTTGTTCCCTTGTGATTGAAGCCCATGGCCAATATTTTGCACAAAGTTCTTCCAATCAAAGGCACTCTGCATTTATTTTAAGTGAACTCCAAAATTTCTTAGAAACACTCTGAATGCAAGTATTATTTCATAAGTATTTATGTTTGCAGTTAGCAAAATCTCACAATAACACGGGCTAATAGAGTTTCCACGTATATGGAGTATGACCGGTTCTTAGGCTACGAATATGACCTGTTTTGGAAAGTCATGAGAGGCACAGCTGCTTAAAATGGAAAATAAAGGTTAACTTCTATATTATCCTTTTTGAAATTGTGTTTGTTGAATATAGTTTATGCTGTATTTAATAGTAATGTAACAAAAAAATGTTAAACATGAGCTATTTTAGCAATGTAACTGTTCATAATGGAATATCAATCAGAAAGTACAGATTTCTCGCCTTAGAGCCAAATCATTAATATCACAGTAGAAAAAAACAAATCCCAAACCTTTTTATGGCTAACCTGAACAAGATCTCCAAATCTCAGTTTATATGATCCCCCATAGAATGAGCAAGAGAAGGATTTATCTTTTCCCAGAGGATACGCTTGTGAAATGTCATGGAAACGAGTGTAACACGGCCCACTGATTGTTTCACAACCGTATTCTCCAATAATGGGGCACCAGTGACATTCGTATTCTCAAAAATTCAAAGATGTATCATATTTGGACAGAGCAGGCTAAATTATTTAAAATATTCATGACTAATTCGTAGATCTAGCCATATATTATACATAAGATGTGTCATCCTCTTCGGAGTTGCGTTGTGTTACACAAAAACTGATCAAAGATGCTGGAAACTAGGATTTTACGGCTCCAATCTAATATTAATACGTTTTCTCTTGATTAAGGTCCCTTGTGATATGCCTGGCATTATAAGTATACCAAGTATCATTCATTGACCAAGTAGGATAAAAAGAAAACGTTCGAAAGTGTTCATAAAAAGCAAGTACTCACCTCGTCTGTTTATAGGAACAAAAATACGGTCACACTCGTAAGCTTAGAACCGGTCATACTCAATATACGCGGATACTCTAGTAACCCGTGAATAAGAGGAAGACCAATAGCTCCAAAATGGTTTTATTATCTCACCACCAAGAAGTGGTGACATATTGTTATGGTCTCTTTTTTGTGATGGCGGTTGGTGGTTGACATCTGTAACAAGTTCTTACAACTTCCAATAACTTTAACAACTTTTACTGTTTAGACGGACTTCAATTATTTTCTAAATCATCTACAAGATCGAGGCCAGTGTGTTGAAAGTTCATTTCAAAATTGATAAAAGCAAATATAGCATTGTACTAACCACTACAGTTCTTCCAATGATTGAGTTGGGTCCTACAAGATTTAGGAGTTTGTCAGTAATCTCTACTTTTGCAACACCATCATCACCAGCAGTAACATTGCCAAGATCACCTACATGTCTGAAATACATGTACAGAGTGAGTAACAACACTTTGAATAATATTTGTGGGCCAACAGGGCCCAGGGATGTCTCCAGGATTTTTCTGAGGGAATGTGTCTACATCATCATAGCTTGCACTTGGAAGATCAAGACTAGCTTCTCCATCTCTTTCACCAGACTACATACAGTAGTTCTTCTTTTCTCCTTGTCTCATTCTCATATCAGTAGCATGAACAACATTGAACAAAATCCCTGGCTATTGGCTCAGATTTCTCATTTACAAACCCATCTCCCCTTCACGATTTAAGCAGCTAGCAATAGAGGTGTCAAGTATTAACCGGTTAACCGGTTAACCGCCGATAATGCCTTGACCGGTCTGTGTTTTTATGGGCGGTTAGTTGACCGTGTATAATTCTGTGATTTCCCGCGCTTATTTTGCATGCTAATCCGTTTGGTTTTATGGTGTCAGTTTCACGTAAGCTACTCATACATGTCATAAGTCCTATAACTCCTTACAAACATCCAATCAGCAACTTTAATCCCTGCCATATTGCTTTCCCGCGCTTACTTTGCATTTTAATCTGTTTGTTTTTCAAGCGTCAGTTTCATGTGAGCTACTCATACATGTGATAGGTCCGATAATTCCTTACAAACATCCAATCAGCAACTTTAATCCCTGCCACATTGCTTTCCCGCGCTTACTTACATAGAAAAGAGTAAAGCTTGACGAACGTAAAAAATAAACGCCGATATATCATTTTTTCCAATTTGTTTCAACTTTCAAGATCGAAAATGAAGATTCTTGAAATTATCAGTTCAAATTTCCCGCCGGTTAACCGACTTTAACCGGTAAAAACCCCCGGTTAACCGGTTAATGCTCAAGCGGTTAATTGACACCACTAGCTAGCAACACTAATGAGACAGATGTCAGATAATACTAATAAGTTAGATCCTACAATCTCTTGACATCCTCCGATCACAGGGCTTCAAAATCCAGAATATCTTCTTTCTTTTTACACCCTGCTATAAGCAGTTAGCATTTCCCCGATTAAGAACTCGCAATCTGATTGGCTGTCGCAACACTGCGACAGAAATCATGTATAAGTCATTGCGCATAATTAGATCACGTGATTCAGTTTAATTGGGGGCTTCCAAATTGGTTATAGCAGGGGAAGAAGGAGGTACGGATTCTGGATACCTGCTTAGGAGGATGAGCTTTGATGGCATGTGGGAGTCTGTATATGAAATGTTAGCTGCACAACACAAGAAATGTTTTGTTTTGATTTTCCAACTAAATATTGCAATAAGGTTGTAATAATAGGCTGTAATATATCAAAGAATAAACGCTAACATAACTGCATAAAGAATCAGATCAAGTCCTCTGTTATGAAAGGAGACAATGATTGTACCTTTCTGCAGCATCTGGAGCTCCATGTGTCTTGCCTTCAGGATTAAAATGTGGTCCAGCACTTGTACAGCCTATAAAATAAAAATAAAATAGTATCTCTGTATTATATTTTGTATTTGGACCCTATGTTACTTCCATTCCAGTTAATCATATGTGGAGCTCCTCCAGATTTGGACTTCTATGTACGTGTTGCACTGTGGTCCTTTCATTGCTTATTTATTAGATTTGATGATTGACACGCAATGAGATTTTAGTTTTGAACACAAGCATAAGGGCGATAGAAATAATTTTTAAATACAGCAGGCGGCAATCAACCTGTGTTTATTTAATAGATTTCGATCACTAATGCCTAAGTTTTTGAACATACCATTTGTATTGTCTCCAAACTCATGAATGTGGAATCCATGCTTGCCGGGAGTTAAACCAGTCAGTTCTCCATCAACTTTAACTGGGCCATCAGCACCCTAAGATCACAAATACATTCAATTATGATTAGTATATTCAAATATGCCAAGTGTTTCTAAGCCGATCAGCAAAGAGTATTTCAAACTTGCATATTTGCAAGGTATGTGGTGATTCTGGTCAGCTGAGCAGAAACATTATTTCACAGTGCATTATGGTCTCATAATGAACTGAGAAGTACCATTATTAGTAAAAGAGAGGTGCCATGACAGTGCATTGTAGTTGCATGAAGAACCGGACAAAATCTTTTCTTATTTCTTATCATTCTTATTCAGATACAAAATACTGTAAAATACTGCTGACACGCTACTACACACACGAGACCTACTTCCTACATGTGGTTGTGTATTTTAAAGCATTAAAAATCTGTTTGATGTACAGTATCTCATTGCAAAACTGCAAAGCTCTCTTTTCAGAAGCGAAGTCAAACGAATCCAAAGGGCAACAATTGGGATTCAGACCACTGGGATTTGGACGATTGGGTTTCAGACGATTGGGATTCTGACAATTGAGTTTCGAATGGATGGTCCGATCTCAGAATTCTTTCACGAGGTGCCAACTAGGCCTACGTCCGTTAATTTGAAATTTAGACCGACATGTACATGTACCAGGTGTTGAAAATCAAGGATTATGAGTATCATACTGCACCATTTTTCTTCAAACTTGTTTCACTAGAGTCCATTTCACTGCTTCATTGCGTCAGTAGAACGGCAAAAATAAGAAATTGGGAGACCATTGTGCAATAATATATGGAAAAGTATATTCATAATGTACATGAATGACATTTGTATATTTCAGATTTTTTAGTTTTTTGTGCAATAAGCCTGTGCCGTCTTGTAATTTGAAGAATTTCAGTCATGTTAATCTTATTGAAAATAACATGGCAGAGAAGCATTCAAATATAAGAGGCCACACACTTTATAAGCCAAACTAGAAGCAATCCTAGATATACAAATGTCATTCATGTACAATAGGAATATATTTTTCCATATATTATTGCAAAATGATATTTTGATTTCTTATTTTTTAGCTTTTACTGACGAAGTTAAACAGTGAAATGGACTCTAAGCAAAACAAAAAAATGCCTCTCTGTTGGCACATTATACTGTTATACATGAGGGTCCCTCCTTTTAGCGGTGTTTGGGTCCCCAGCTTTGAGAAGCGAAATCAGCCAATAGCACGTAGGACTTCCCACAACCATATACAGAGAGTATATGAACAGTGGCGGACCCAGGAACCAACAAGGGGGGGGGGCCCAAATTTCCGGTGAGAAAAAAATTTCCGCGCTTGCGCAAAAAAAATTTTGAGCCCCATTTTCTTCAAAATTTGGCTTAAAATTAAAAAATAAGGCCTTAGAAGGCCTTGTAATGACCAAAAAGGCCCACTTTTTGAGGCTTTAAGGCCTTTTTGGCCCAAAAATTTTTTAAGACCCAATTTTTTTTCTGGGCCCAACTTGGGGGGGGGCCCATTTTTCTTTCTGGGCCCACAAAAAGGGGGAGGCATGGTCCCCCTGGATCAGCCAGTGGGTCACCAGTGAGTAAATCTAGGCTACAGTGGGGGACAAAAATAAAACTCAACGTTCACAAGTTGTCACAATGAGCTAATTTCCAAGTTTCGTGTCTCAAACTCTCCCAAGCGGTAGAAAAATAATTCCCGTTCACTAAAGTAGCACAATAAATGAATCCAAAGCTTCATACCTGCAAATAATGGATAAATCCCTACCAAATCGAATGAATGTTTTCATGAATCGCCATGTTTGGTATCCAAGGACAGTTGACTCCCAGAATGCAACATCAGTTAACCGTATTTACTCATGACAGGTTTCAAAATGGCGGAACAGCATTTTGAAAGCTGGCACGTGTCATGTTGCATTCTGGGAGCCAATCCTCCGTTCCGGCGCAATCGGGCGACAAAATTACCTCAACATTTGAAGAGTCGGCATAACATGTGAATATCCACTTCAACTTTTGCAGTTCTTATTTGTCAATAGGGACACAAATTCACTATATTTGGACTTACTAAGACTGAAATAGAGCACTGAATACACTGAGGTAAGAATTTATTACATGTGCGACAGCATGTAATTTTCATAGCTTTTGCAATGCTTTATGATCCCCACTGTAGATCTAATTGTAATGTAACTAGGCTGGGCTAAAGTTACTTAGGTCCAAAACCTTCTCAATTTTGTAATATAGAGACTCGAGTAAGGCTAAAGGGCAGTGTCACTGTAACCGAGTACAGAGCTGAGCGCTCTCACACTGGGCCTGATTTCTGGAGTGTCCACTGGCGTGCGACTCTAAAATATCAACAGAGTTATGAGCTAACTCTTTGGTTAGTAACTTACTTCTTGAGTGAACGTGACAACGCCTTTGACGGCACCTGCACCGGCTAAACAACAGACTGCTTTGATAACCATTTTCGATTTTTCTTATTTTTTGACTTCCGGTGTTTTGCACTCGGCACTGATTTGTTTGGTCATGTGACTCAAGGTAGAGATGTATATACAGGGTGGGACAAAAAAACAATACTCAAGTTTAAAGGTGAATATATATAATAATGTTGAAGTTGAAACATATTCCATGTTTTCTACATCATTGAAAAGACAAATCATTTCCTAACATGTACCCTGTGAGTTTGTTATGAACTACGAAGAAGTGAAGTGAAGTCGAACGAATGCAAAGGGTAAACAACATGACACCATCTGGTTGATAACCTATCTTTTCTTGAGGAGTTAGAGACTAAAACTGACACCAGGGGTGTCATGATTGACCAAAATTCTTAAAATGAATTTACCAAATTTCCCTCCATATTGCAGTCACAACTGCACTCAATATGCTTGACCGAATCATTATAAATGTATTTAAGACGGTTGTAATGAAGTTGTATTAAAGTGCAGCTAAATTCAATGCCCCGTGTGGGAACCTACAACCCTTGGATCCAAAGTCTAAAGGCTGGCCACTACAGCTGGACTATAGTAGCAACTTGCTATCAAGAGTCGTTACAGAGTTATACACGATTGATAGTTAGATCTAATTAAAAATATAATTATTATGGGTGAATTTGCACCTGACTAAACTTGTATAAAAGTTCCACTTTTGGATGCCAAAATACAAATTTTCCTCATGATTCTCCACAATTTAGGAATTCGAAGTGAATAATTTTTTGATCGCTCGTGGCAGCCCTGGTGTCAGTTTTAGCCTCTAACCACAGGAAAACAAACCTTTTTTGTTAGGAAATGATTCATCTTTAAAATGATATATAATATATGGCATGGTTAAATATAGGCTATATCATATGATATTCATCTTTGAACTTGTGTAGGCTTATTGTTTTTTGGCCTACCCTGTACTTCGTTGGGTATGCCAAATGGGTATTTTTAATGTAATTATTGCATGACTGGTGTGAGCTGTACAGGGGCATAGCCAGCTTTCAGTCGGGGGGGGGGGGTGCGATCGCCCAATTTTTTTTAGTCAGAGGGGTGCGATTGCATCCGTCGCACCCCCCCCCCCCTGGCAACGCCGTATGGCCGTGACATCTATTTTCATAGGCCTAATAACACCATTTCCATGTCGATTAGTTGCTTCAGTTTTTTCTTAGGAAAGAAAGAAGAGACCCTGAATGTATATATGTAGGCCTTACTTCCTGCGAAAGCTATGTAGATTTTGATACATAAGTTTCAAAATCTAACATGGCTCTCGAAGTGAGTAATGTAGGCCCAGTTTGATAATTGAAAATCATAATACAAGTTGGACACCTGCTCAAAAGATATCCGTAATAGAAAAATACTACAAAACCTTCTCTCCACTGGTGATCCACTCGATTACGCTGGTTACCAAAACTGTTCGTTTTGGTAACAAAATGTCGGAACATCGAAGGTACGATTTTTCTCGTTTCCTTAGTTTACACGCTGTATGCACAATTCCCACGACATTAACACAAACGTGTATCAGTATCATATGTTTAAGAAATTGTACATATTTGCGAACAAATAGTTCAGAAGACAACAGAATCGTCGATTTACTTCCTCACTTAAGTTACATAAACGGTTTTTCGAAAAACAGTTAAGATCATTGGGCTGCACTTTTAACCCAAACCGTTTATGTAACTTAAGTGAGGAAGTAAATCGACGATTCCGTTGTCTTCTGAGCTATTTTTTCACAAACATGTACATTTTCTAAAACATGTGATACTGATGTACGTTGTGAGAAAAAACGTCGTGAGGATTCTGCCTACAACGCGTGAAATAAGGAAAAAAGAAAAATCGTACCTTCGACGTCGCGACATTTTGTTACCAAAACGGTTCGTTTTGGTAACCAGCGTAATCGAGTGGATCACCAGTGCTCTCCCTATCCATCCCATTTTTCCGATCACCGGGCGTGGTTCAATGTCCCCGGTTCTATGTTTAACCTAGAATTTCTGAGCCTAAATCTGGAAATACACTCGGCCTCCATAAGTTTGGCAACCTTTTCTCCCCCATTGAACTACGTGTTAAAGCCTCTTTAGGCTTACGTATATTTTTATTTGCTTACCCTGCGATAAAATTACTTAAATTATTGATGGAAACGCAAATTGACTTTATTTCCAATACCTCCAAAGGACGGGTGTCATTAAGGGCCCTTTTTAGCCCCCAAAGATATCTGATAATAATGCATATCATATTGAAGAAAAATCATTTGTGCTTTATAAAAATATAATTTCAGCGAATTTTGACCTTTGATGTTCACACAACAGTCATTTAAAGATCATATACCATTTTTGGTGTTTTTACAAAAAATTCTTTATTTATTGTTGTCTAAGTAAATAGTATATAAATATTAACCAATTTAAATATATTAAAATGTAATATATGAAATACTGAAGAAAAGATACGATTAAAATTATTTTCATGGAAAAGCACATAGGGCAATATTGACAAAATGCAAATGCTATTTTGGTAGGTTCTGGGCTAGCAATGGGTACATTTCAACTGTGACTGTAATGGATTACTATTGACTTTTATCAACATCACAGGGCAACATTTAAGCAACTTAAATACAAGGAAAATCAAAGATATTCTCTCATTTCTAGAACGAGGAGCAAAAGCATGAATTCAAGGAAAATAAATGATGGCCTGTGCCAAAATATATAACATATGAGAAAGTTGTGGCACAGTAAAGGATATGTATAGGATATTATATGATTTTAAATGATTTTATCTTTATCTCCGAGTTGATATCAATATTTTGCCAAGTTAGCATAGCGAATTAGCGCAGATATTGATATAAATGAGTTGGATTAACACAATATCACGAAAATTCATAGGATGTTCTATTTTTCCCATAGTTCACCTCTAAAACTAAACAAAGCATATCAAAACAACATCCATTCATCCCCGTGATGTCATCAAATCACTATGTAACAAAACACATCATATTGGTGGTAGTTCAAATCCCTGCCAAAAGGTGATATCTGTGAAATATTTTCCGTATTCCACAGATATCACTTTTTCCACGCATTTGCAAAATATCACAAATATGTTTTCATGTTACCTAACAGAGCGGAACAGAGTTCAACTATGGGATAAAGAATAAAAAATAGGTACATAATTGAATTACCACTCCAAAAATATTAAATATGAGGGTTTAAAGAAAGAATAGTGAATATGAGATTCAAAAAGACAAGTGGCCTCATGTCTCACATTACCCAAACCCCAGATCCTCGATGTCATATATACTTGTATACTGTATATCAATGTCATTTACTGGGAGGATTAAATATGGAGTGTATAGCAATGGTCAATACGATATTTCCAGATGGATATTTTTTCACTAGAAGCGGAACCCAAACTCAGTGACATAGAATGACATAGACATTAACTTTTGCAATTAATAGAAACTTGTTTTTTATTATATTTTTGTGTTCTATATTTGAGATGAAATAATATGAGATTCATTTCTACAAGGATGGAACGAATGTGAACTTGTATATTGAACTATACTCCTTTTCTGAATAAACAGAACAACATTTTACCCAAGCCAATTAAGAAAACCAAGGCCAATGAGTGTAATTTATGCCCAGTTAAACTAACACAATAACAACTTTTTGTCTGGACTCACTTATTATGTAAGAATGAATTGTATTACTGTTTACTGCATTAAATGTCAAGTATACTATCTGTATTTAATTTCAAATGCCTATCTCACTTATCGAAGGTATACAAGAAATGTTATTTTGAAACAAATTCAGCACAACCAAAACCATGTCCACATATATGACAAATCCAAGATGGCTGCCACAATTTTAGATCCATGCACATGTGAAGAAGTTAGAAATACACATGGTCCACAAGTTCCATCCCCAATAAAATGGGAAGTTTAAGGTTTTCACACATATCAACTCTATTCCTATATACTTTATATTTGTGGTAAGGCTTGTGATCTAGGTAAACTTAGCATGTTCATGTACCTCCTATCCTCTGAAGCTAAAAACAGAAATAGTGACTTCAATTGAGAAAAATGAATCTTATGGGCTCCATATACATTTTGAGTGGCTGTCTGGCTTAAGTTAGATACCACTGATAATCTGAGATTGAAAATTATGTCAAGTTTAGTCCTCAGCCTCTCATAACGGATAACTTCGAGGTAATTGTGTTGTCACTGCAAAAACCTCTATTTCTTCATCACAAATCTACCATCTTTTGCATCTGTCAAAACCCTTCATTTCATGTTAATTATCAGACTTTTGCTTGTGCCATCATTAAATATATATATTCAACTTGTTATTCAGAATATTTCAAGAACTTTTCATGAATTTTTTTATTTTCACACTTTTGAAAAAATGACTAAGTCAGAGAATGGCCTCTTAAGGGCATGTCCCCTTTTCTCAATTTTTTCCACAATTACAATAGGTCGAAAATTGATGCTAAATTTGACGAATTTTTAAAAATCGCCATTCCATGTTAACCAATGGGAAATGGTAGGTTTGCCGCAAGTCATTTGACAGAATATCCATCGATCCGAGTTCTTGCAAAAATACAAGTTAGGTAGGCAATTGAATTTGCTAACTTTATTTAACAGAACATTGGTTCCATTGATGCGTTTCTTCAGGTTCAACAAAGTTATATGTCTTTAAAGTCAAAATTGTTTTCAAAAAACTTCTCCCATAAAAATAACACAGGAGGCGAAAAATATTTTTCAAAAATGAAAAAAGAAACCTCGAAGCTCTGTAACTTCAGTACAAAAAAAGCTAGACGATTCAATTTTGATATAAAATTTTTTTGCTGAAACTTTTACTGAACAGATATCTTGATTTCTGATTTGCCCCGAACCCACTATTTCCCATTGGTTTACATGGGAATGACAATTTTCAAAAAATCATCAAATCTATAATCAATTTTTAATTTATACACGGACAAAATGTAAAAAATCACTATTTGAAAATTTTGTTAACTTTTATGTAAACTTTTAAGTATATTTGTAGCCGGGATAGATTCTATGTAAAAGTATCTTTGTTCTTGCTTTTATTCTTCTCCAAATCGTTCCAATTTATTGTTGGATAATAACTTTTTCACTTTTCTTCACAAATTGCAATTGATTAATTAAGATTTGATATAGGCTATATAAATGATTAAAAATAATGCTGAAAACAGTGAATAGCCTGAGTTTTCCCTAAGAGACAATAAATTACGTCTTCTTTCGAATTTAAGAAAAGAGTCAACTCAATGTCTCGGAGCAAACTTGTGTTTTCATCAGAATATTGAACAGTTTAGTTGGCCATTGTACAGTCATCTATAAAGTAAACAAGATTGTTTGAATGATTATTATTTACCCATCAGTGCATCACTTAACAAAACGTAAAAAATGATCAAGTAATTATTTTGCATTTTCTTATTTCCAAAACCATTAACAAAGGATAACACTGACATAAATAGTACCTGTATTGAACATTTAGTATATAAATACAGAGGCGTAATAATGTTCCAATACCATCACAGCAAACAGTACAACTACAACTAGACTAGCTCTAGTCGCAGAATGCAATATCCAATATCTGAGGCAAATTGGCCAGTATGGCACTACTAGGCTACGACATTCTGCGTGATAATTTATTCCAATAACATTGCATTGATTTCTCTGGCTAATAACAAGAACTCTTGCATTTCAGAAACACTTCTATAGAACAGAATGTATACACAATGTCAAATATTGAATTAATCTCGGATTTAGAAGTCTACATTGAGTAGAAGGGTCCATTTTCAGATTTCAAGATGGATACCTTTGGACATTCTTTTAAAGAACCAAGATGGACATCACAGATAAGGTCATTCCTGTCTCAATTTACAGACTTATTCAGTGCATTTGAATCGTACATTGCACCATCCTATCACCATGATAGGATTGAGAGGTAAGAAGGGTATAACCATTACCGTTTTAAATCCAGTTTTAGACAGAGGAACTGGGATTTATTCCAAAGTGTATGGACTTATAAATGATAACTGCCTAAAATTCGCCTCAATATTGTAGAACGGCTTCTACATTTTACACATGTTTATAAGGCATCATGCATTATCATTTTCTGGCCAATCCTGGCAGTGGGGACAGCTTGGAAGCAGCAAAGCCATGCTGTTGACATCAAACAGCTAGCACGGAAAAGATGACTCTTTTATGATCTTAGTCAAATCTTATCATTATTACCGGGCATTATTACCGATTAGTCATTACTTATGTATGTCTAAGTGTTAGGAATTATACCCATGTTGAGCCATATGACTCCTATAAAAGTGGCAGGTTGGCTTTCAGTTCTTATGCATAGGCTAGATCCTCCATCTAGGCCTACTTTTCTTTTTACTGAGAATGTCCTTATTTTTTAATTTTATGGGCCTTGAATTTTCAAGATTACGGCTCACTTTTTGGTTTAAGGGCCAACATATTTTATCAGACTTAAAATATGCCCCCCCCCCCCCAACCTTATTGGTTTACAGATCCCCCCCCCCCCCCCCCCCGTAGGCCTAATGTATTGGTAAACATGAACACTTTTGAAATTGATTCATGCGGGCCTCTATTTTATGATGATAAAGACATACCATTTCCAATAGTTTGGTTTTACTTTTTTTTACAAAGAAAGAAAAGGAAAAAGAAAGGCCTCTAGAAACAGTCACTGAGCAAAATATATTTTTCATTTTCACTTCCATTTATAGATGGCGTGTGTGTTTTTGACCTTGACAGTAGCCATATTAAAAATAAAATGAGAGAAATCGATGCGTGAGTTGGCGTTTTATTTTACTCTATTATCCTTTAGATGAGGCTCAATATATAAACATACTTTTATATTTTGTTCAACGTGAAAGAGACTACATATGGTTGTATTTTAGTGAACCTTATGCAGTTGTGTCATGATCAAAACGGAATGATTGGGAGTGCAGACGCTTTTTGAATTTTATTTTCAGTTTTTTTTAGTTTTTATTTATTTATATTTTTTGAATGATGTTTAAGGAATGCTGAAATACTCAGTAAATGAGGTAGGAATTTGAATTGTTAAGGCGTGGATTATCTTTTATGTTGTAATCATGAAATCATCTAACAGCTAAAGTGCTGATATATAATAATCAAGGGTGCGTTTTCAAACTACTATTTTTTTCAAGGCCTGTCTGCGTCGCTAACATGCTAAATATAAGAGTTAGCTGACGTTTGGGAGTCTTACTTACCTTCTAAAGGTTAGAACCCGAATCTTAATGAAACCATATCACCTTTGTTCCGTCAACCATGGAGCATTTGCCACAACATCCAAGAGGTAAATCATGGATCGAGAAAATGAATGATTTCCTTGTAAGTTCCGGAAGTTTCAATACGAAAAATTACCGAACATATGTGAAAACCGAATATTTGTTCGTTGTTTTCACGATTTACAGGTTCGTTTGTTCTTCAATGTTTTGGTCTAAATTATAAAGCATCACCAACAGGTCTTTCTCTATTAATCGACTAATACAGCAGACTGCTCATATTTCTACGTAGCATTTCATTCAGACCAATAGTGGGAGTGTAGATCACGCAGTTTCGTTCGTTGCGTACTTCACTTGAAATTGGTAATTTTTAATATTGACTACTTCACTTAGCTTGGCGGATGTAGAACATTGCTTAATATTCTTTTAATTTTCACACCAGACATGCTTGGTTGACACGTCAACAAAGTAAAGTTCAAGGGTCAATGCGTTATTTCGTGATAACTACAACGCCTTCCCGGAAGTCAACATTGATGAAAAATGAAAAAGTCGGAAAAGCATTTACGCTAATTTCTATCAAATGCTATGTTTATGCATGGGCTTTCAACTAGAAGGGTATGCAACTCTATGTAATATTATGAGACTTTCAAAATGAGCAATGACATGGTTCCTTTTTATGGCAATATTTCAAAAAGTATTAGATAAATGTATATGTTTTAGTATTATTTTGAATAAAAATCAATTTTAAATATGATTTAAGCATAAAATATATTCAATATCATATAAAAGTAAACAAAAGAGACCAATAAGAATAAGAGTTATCAAGATGTTCTCTTTGAGTATTGCATTGTGGGTAATTATTCAAGAACACATTCCAATAAAAAACATAATTTGTGGGAGAATGTTCACTTTCTGTATTGTCATAATTATGATGAATTCCAATTTTTATTAAATTATCAAGATGTATGTAGAAGATCATGTTTTTATTTTTGAGTTATTTCTTTTAATCATCAATAAAAAGTGCAAAATAAGATTTTCTTGGAATGTGTACATTCTCCAATTTTGAAAACCCATGGCAATGTTTATGTATGAAATATGGGAAGTTGCCTACCCTTCTAGTTGAAAGCCCATGGTTTATGCATCATCATCGACGCAACAAAGGTGATATAGTTTCATTAAGATTCGGGTTCTAACCCTTAGAAGGTAAGTCAGACTCCCAAACGTCAGCTAACTCTTATATTTAGCATGTTAGCGACGCAGACAGGCCTTGAAAAAAATAGTAAACAGAGTGCTCCTACCAAAACAAATTTGCCTACATACCCCTGAGACTCTTATCTGATAGATAGAATGCACAAATAAAACAAAAGATTTGCTATTATAGGTAAAAGGTTCTCTTGAAATTTCGAAGTGATTTTACCTGTTAATTCTGTCCATTGTCCACTATTTTGGCGGAAGTTACACTGAAACACAAACTCCATGAAACGAAACGAAATCACTAGAAAAAATATGGCATACATTGTGCGCATGTGCAGCAAAGTTTTAACCAATCAGATTATTTGATTATTTGCGCACATGAATTATTTGCTTCTGAGCACTTACAAGCTTACCACAATAAACAAACCTGGCAGACACTACCCTGAGCCTACTTCATTTTGGCGAAATTTCAGCTCAAACTCGTGACAAATTAACTATGCATACGCTGGTGTGAAGCCTTGGAGACACTCATTTTGGTAAATATGATTTATGGTGTATACTTTTCTGCAGTTTGTGGGAGTTTGGAACATTAAATGTTAAAATTCAAGAAAATATGCCAATAATACGACTAATCAATTAATATATACCAGCACTGTATAGATGATGATGATGGTTATCATACAGTCAAAAGATTGGGATGTTCTCCCGACACGGGGTAAAGTTTGCCCTCACTAACTAGACTAAACCATAGACATGGGATTCATTTGAGATTTCATTGATGAAACAATTTAGACCTGGAACTCAGAAATGAATAATATTCCCTCAGTTTATAGCCAAGCAACCCCTAGGTAGCAACCACATCCTAACATAAGCAACGAACCTCACCGCGTCCCTAGAACCAATCAAATTTTGACAAAATCAAGTATATTTGATTGGCTTTAAGGAAGAATAAAATGAGAAACACTCAGATAATGTATATTATAGTATAACCTCCTTGTAGGTGCAGGATTATGCTCACTCTCTCTTCAGTTCTCTGTGAAAATATTAATTAGGCTTTAATTCATTCATATTCATATTATTACTCTGATGATTTGTTGTTAAAGAATCATATCATGTTTTCATTTATGTTGCTCATGCTTTTATTATTATTTTATTAACAAAGTAAAGTGAGAAACGAAATGACAATTCTCATGATATAATGGGTAACCGAAGAATATTTAAAACATATATTGATTTTGTGATATTCAAGTCAATATCACCAAATATATATTCTACCAAAACAGCATGCATGCAGTTGAAAAAACAATATAGTACTGCCTACTGGTTATTATGATTACTCAAAATAACAGGTGATTTTGATAAAAAAAAACTGGAGAAAATAACCTGCATACTACAGGTTTAACCCCTGGAGCTAAGACTAAATTAGCTAGAGACAGATGACATTTGGTAGATTTTCATCCATCTGTTGGATCATTCGTCCACTTGTACCATTGGTTGTACCTAGGATGAAATGGTACAAATTGAAACTGATATTTATAAGTCATCTCGTATATGCAGATTTGCTAATGTTTATCCAATGTTTCCTTGGCATTTTACGAATTGGCATTTTCTAATTTCTTTTATTTTCAAGACAATGGCGATTTTTATGCCAAAAAGTCACTTTCAGATAGCATTCATTACGTGATTAAGTAAATTTGGATCTTTATTTAAAAAAGACAATTAATGAAAATCTATTCATGGTACACACGTTTGTTGAGAATTATAGTATGTAGCAGATGTAATAGTAAAAATCCTATGAATAAAATTACACATTTTTATATGCATATGTTGCAGCATTGCTTATAAAATAATATGTAGGTTTATGAATTCTATCACTTAATTCCATTGCTTAAGTATTTCTATATACTGTATGATATATTTCAGTTGTAGGCCTAATTCAGTTTTTTATTTCTGATATCAGTGCTCATATAGATTAAGATTTATGGATATTGATCTAGATTTAAAATCAATAAAGTTGTATCCTACTGCAGCACACATGTTACACATGAGGTCTGCAAATTAGATATAATAGCATCCTATGTTCTTAGCTGCATTCCATATATCTGATTCGTGGCATTTATCTATTTTATATAAAAGTACAAATGACTAGAAGCCACTCCAGATGAGACTATTTCAAGGGATCAAATGAAAATCAAAAATCCTAAAGGTTGGAAATAACATTACATCAATAAATGCTGTTCCAGGTCGGTCCAGATGAGACTGTACGCTCTGAGTAAACGCCAGTTTGTGCTGGTGTTTGTTACCTTCTTCGTTTGCTTTGGTGTATCCATACTCATAGGATTGGCAGGTACGTCTTCAATGTGTATTCACTTGGAAAAGTCTAATAAGCTCACCATAGTTCAAAATATATATTTTGCATCAACTCCATGATACACCTTTTTAATAGATTTTTTATTTATTTGAATGTTAATTATGTTCATTTGTTTTAATGATTTCATAACCCTCATTCGACTTAGCTTCTTAAAACAGAGCTTCGTCATCTCATAATATAGTCCATCTAGTTCAATGTGTCATGTTACTTTCAGGTCCTCCTATATTACAGTCCATCTAGTTCAATGTGTCATGTTAATTTCAGGTCTTCCTATTTTACAGTCCATATAGTTCAATGTGTCATGTTACTTTCAGGTCCTCCTATATTACAGTCCATCTAGTTCAATGTGTCATGTTACTTTCAGGTCCTCCTATATTACAGTCCATCTAGTTCAATGTGTCATGTTACTTTCAGGTCTTCCTATTTTACAGTCCATATAGTTCAATGTGTCATGTTACTTTCAGGTCCTCCTATATTACAGTCCATATAGTTCAATGTGTCATGTTACTTCCAGGTCCTCCTATATTACAGTCCATCTAGTTCAATGTGTCATGTTACTTTCAGGTCTTCCTATATTATAGTCCATCTAGTTCAATGTGTCCTGTTACTTTCAGGTCCTATATTACAGTCCATATAGTTCAATGTGCCATGTCACTTTCAGGTCCTCCTATATTACAGTCCATATAGTTCAATGTGTCATGTTAGTCATGGGTCATTTTATATTACAGTCCATCTAGTTCAATGTGTCATGTTACTTTCAGGTCTTCCTATTTTACAGTCCATCTAGTTCAATGTGTCATGTTACTTTCAGGTCTTCCTATTTTACAGTCCATCTAGTTCAATGTGTCATGTTACTTTCAGGTCTTCCTATTTTACAGTCCATATAGTTCAATGTGTCATGTTAGTCATGGGTCCTCCTATATTACAGTCCATATAGTTCAATGTGTCATGTTACTTTCAGGTCCTCCTATATTACAGTCCATATTGCTCAATGTGTCTAGTTCAATGTGTCATGTTACTTTCAGGTCCTCCTATATTACAGTCCATATAGTTCAACGTGTCATGTTACTTTCAGGTCCTCCTATATTACAGTCCATATTGCTCAACGTGTCATGTTACCTGTTACTTTCAGGTCCTCCTATATTACAGTCCGTACAGTTCAATGCCACATCATTGCCAAAGGTTCCACAAGACCTCAAGGTAAGTAACTGCATCAACAATAAAGCCTTCATGTACTTTTGGCTCCATCCTGCCAATATATAACAGTATACAGGGCTCTCACCAGGAAATATTTAGGGTGTGGGGCTAACATCTCCAGAATAACCATTCAGTCGTGATAAATCATATTTATGTTATGTTTTATCCTTTTTACAGGCTATTATTGTATATTAAGTCAAGTTTAGACTGTGGAAATAGTCATGATTTGCCAATAGGGTGTGGAGGGAGCTAAATAGAGTGTGGTGCTGCGCCACAGTCTAAAAGCCTGGCGAGAGCCCTGGTATAGACTATAGAAAGACTCATCAGTCTCTTTCTGGATTGAGGCAATATAAATCTTTCGAGAAAACAGGCACTGTGCCCAGATGATAATCTGAAAAATACTGTGTATCCAATCAATTTCTATCACCAAGTTGAAAAAATCCTGGTTAGAATATGATATCGTGCAAAGCACATTATTTTGTGTTCTCATTGCTAATGTTATCACCATAATTATACACTGAATAGCGCAGATCATTATGAGTTATTTAATGTGTGATATTGTGATTTAAACTCAATAACAGTTTTTTGTATATTTCAGAAAGGTCCATTTATCAAAAGATCTCCACCCATGTCTCCCTACCACCAACAGCTGTGGCTCATAGCAGAGATCATACCCACTGGCAGCAAATGTAAGTTTATACATATTATTACACATGCTTTCTTTAGAAGAGTGGAATGTTACTTTATGTTTGTTTTGTGTCAGTTGTACACACTTATTAATGAATTTTGATTTTATTCAAGGGTTTCAATTCATTACACAACCCTTACAAGATGTATTAATTAAGAACCATAACAGTATGTTCCAAAAATCCAGTTTCTAATTTGTTTCTAACATTTTGCATGTTAATGCCCTGTGCCACCGTTTTTAACCATGATAAATACAAACTTGTTTCTTTAATATGTTCACCAAATGTTACAATGTAAATCATGCAAATTCAAAGTTATTACAGCTGGCAGATCTTTTTTATGTTTCAAATCAATTTCAAATTCCTACCATAAGTGTAGAGTCCAGTAACAGTTGAAGCTCTCTTTACCAGTTGAAGCTCTCTTTTAAAAACAAAATCATATGAATGCAATAAATACTTGTTATTTTCCATATCCTATTATTTAAAATTAATATCAACATGAGTATGCGATTTTATCCCATCCCTTAATTTTTTATTTGAGATGTTCCCTTTCTGAAATCTGGCTGCAAGCATGCACATTCTGTATTACTACATGCTATGAACAGGTACATGTACATGACAAACTAATTGTATAAAATGTGTGTATTTCAGCAACAGGGATCACTCATCCATTCACAGTAAGTGTCCAGATTAGAGGAAGTGAGAAGATCAAAGATGAGAACTCAAGCAAAGAGCTCTATGATGGACATATGCATAACAGAACTCGCATCTTGCAGTGTAAAAATGGGGTAAGAAAAGAAGAACTTATAAGAGTTGTACATGTACCTAGGTATGAGACATGCAAAAATATTTTGCCTCACCAAAATATTGCGGAATAATCAGATGATTTTTCAACTGGAAATGATGCAGTGGTAGTTTAATATCTCATTTAGTTATAATTTGCCTCACCTACTTATATTTGCCTGACCTATTTTTAGAATTTTAGTTTGCCCTTGTTGAAATTCAGAAACAGCCCATTTACTCTTGATTTAAAGCAATTTTATAAAATGGCATGAATTAGCTTCACCAACATTGATATTACAGAAACTCCTGTAGAGGTAAAGCATGTAATAACCTCATATTTTACACCTAGGTAAACAATGAGGACTTAGTTTTATGACATCAGTAATATGATAGTAAACAATGTTATTTCAAACATGTACATTGTAATTGTATTCAAAGGTTTGAGTAAATATGAAATCCACTTCAAAATGTTGACTAATTTTATGAGTCTGGTAGATTTGAAGTGGTTTACACTTTTACTTTCATGATTGTATTAGTAACAGATCTTTCAAGATAAGTCAACTTTGGGAACAATTGAAAATTTGACTTACATATTTTATAGTTTTTTGGTGGTTTGTATATTTATACAAATTCATATGTAGTTTATTGTTAAAAGTATAACATTTCAAATAGCTAAATTTTAACAGTAATACATGTAAATGATATCAAGATTTAAGTATATGTGGATGTACATGTACAACTTTACTCTCTTACTTTATGAGTTGCAAATAACTCAAATACATACAATCAGACATATTAGACATTTTGGCCCCCTATTATCATCATCATTTTTTCATTCTCATTGATCTTAATATAAGAATATAAATCCTGATGTATTTTTATTTACACTTTAATGGGAGTGTCTGAAAATGTTTTGAATTGAGATAATTTCTATATAAAAAGAGAAACAAATTAGGCTAAACTGTATTCCCTTTTCAACCCAACATTTAATTTCTTTTTCTTTTTTATCCGATTTAAAGTTATGAATTTCAGACGTATTGCACATACACTGTATAGGATAAAACAAAAAATAAAACTGAACTTGAAAATGTAATTCATCAAAGCTCAAATATTACAAAATGTCAATTCCCATTTTCTGTTTTTCTGCTCCCATTGTATGAATTTTTATATCTTATGATTGTTTTGTTTCAGAAATGTGATGAGCTGATACTTCTTCATTTAGGCTTCCTAGACTTCACCTACTACACAATTAGCATCACGTTCTATGACTTGGAGGATTCACCAGTCAATGTCAAAGATATTAAATTTTTTGTAAGTAATTGTACAAAAAATTGTGTCCTGGGATCTTTTGAATATTGTGTTCATCCCAAGGGACCACCAGCCTTTAAGCAGATGAATTATGTTGGTCTCTTGATAATCCCAATATCGAGAATCTCATATTAGATAATCCTTATATATTCTCCTAAGTACTCAAACAATGTTGATACATATACAGTGAAGCCTGGGTGTATTGATTATCTATGGAGTCACAAAAATATGTTAACTGTAGGTAGATGTTCATTACAGAGGGTCATTTATACAGAAGTCTGTTGAGTTTTGGTGAGGAAGGATGTCCATTAGACAGGGGTTCGCTAAAGAAAACAGATTTAATTGAATTGGATTAGTTTATTTTCTCCCGAAACTTAATAGAGGATTAAGACACTACATTCAATTTCTAGAAAAACAGTGTTTTTTTTATTGTGCAATGGGTGACTTACCATTAAGTTTTGAATATTTAGAAAGTAATGTCATACTTGCTTGGATCAAAGTTTGAATAGGACATGTAATAATGAGTTGTCTAGGGGATGAGTTGTCAAAAGAATTCCACAGTAAACATCCGAGATACTTATATATAAGTATACATGTATATATAAGTTGCTGTTTTCAAATGTCATGACTCTTTTCATAAAAACATTTTTATTTCAGTATTAGTGACCTATAGACCTTTTAGATATTTTAACTATACATGTACTAATTGTTTTGTTTTCCATTCCAGTTCAAAAGCTACAATCCTTCCTTTACATACATAGAGATCTGGTTCAGATTTGTATTTCTAGTCTTCTCTTTCTTAGCTACAGTAAGTATACTATAGCAGTATTTCATTAATTGTAGTGTGTGTGTAAAAGAATATATCTCCATCAAACATGAAGCCTCTGTAGTAGCCCCTAATTCTAACTCTAACACAGGTCGAAAAAGCATGCGTTTATTGGGAAATGTGGCAGTGTATATTTATCTCATTCAATAAATATTAATTTTGAAATGTCCCAGAATCACAAAACTTCTTAAAAGTGAAGAAGCAGGTATACTTTTGTCCTTTTGATATGATTCCTTTTCCTATTGCCTCTTTAATGTGATTCCCTTTCTTTCAGTGTTTATTTGCTCATTCCCTGCGCAAGTTTTCCATGAGAGACTGGTCTATTGAGCAGAAGTGGATGTCAGTATTATTGCCCTTACTGCTTTTATACAACAGTGAGTATTTCTTCTTTTTGAATACAACAGTTTAGTATATTTTTGGATATAAATTATGAACAACCTAATGAGCAACCTATGTCGATTGAGGGATTGTTTTAAATTACTGTATTACATAATTTTATTCAGATAGTGTCTGGTAAATATATTAAAATTAAATGCTGCGAATTATTTGTTATATCTTGCCTCTTGAATTCAAAAAGTCTAAAGGGATTTGATGTTTTATTTAAGTAATCTCAAAATTTACATTTGTGTGTGTCAGAGCCTTAGATGTTTAATGTGTATCAATGAATAATTTTGTATTCATTAATAATCTTCATTTCCAGATCCCATATTTTCTCTCACATTCCTAGTCAATAGCTGGATTCCTCCAATGTTTGATGCAATATTTCAAGCCTCATTCCTGTGTGCACTTTTGTTGTTTTGGCTCTGTCTTTACCATGGAGTTAGACAGGTAGGTTTGAGTCTCCTATAATAGAGGGTCTCTCCAGGCCAAAGCTTTTCTTGGAACACATTTAGATCTTAAAGATATCAGAGCATATAGTGGAACTGCTAGCTGATAAGGGTTTAATGTAAAAGTCATGAGAAATGTTAATATGAAATTATTTATTTTGGATCTCATACATTTTACATTTATGCCCAAATGAAGAATTATGGAAAATACAGCAAGTTATGGATATTTTGTCTTTTCAGACAAAAAGATATTTCTGTAAATTCTACCTTCCAAAGCTGTTAGTTGTGGGTTTAATATGGATCGCAGCAGTCACCATAGCAACCTGGCAGTCTTACAATGAGTTAGTCGATCCAACATATAACTACAAACTGGACACAGGAAATTTCATGGTGAGTTCTGTGTTCCAATATTACAAACTATAAGTGGGTCAAGTAGAATGAATTTTGACCTATTACATGTTAATTGTCTAATTCATCACCCATTTACTCATTTTAGGATGTGAACATATAAATATATTGCATTCTTCAGTCTAGAAAACATTCAAGAATTATTAGTAGCAGGGATCTACCCACATTGAAATCCCTGAGGTGCAGCGGCTCTGTCACAAAATCCTTAAAATGTTGCACAAAAATTGCAAAATACTTAAAAGTTGCATTAGAGATTCCAAAAACCGAAAATATTACACAAAAAATTCCAAAATTTGAAAATGTTATTAAAAAGACAGCAAAATCCTCCACACAATTAATGAGAATTCAATATACATGTACTCCTACATATATATATTACTTTCAGGGTTTTAAAATATTTTTCTTTGTGATGGGAGGTGTGTACATTCTGAACCTACTGTATTTATTGGTGCGAGCGTATGCAGAGCTGAGATCAATGCCTTATTTTGGTAAGTCAAAGTGACACCTTTAAAGATAGATACTTAATGTTCAAGCTGAAGAACTTTGCATTAAAAATTTTTGCATGATTTTTGCTCACTTTGAGCCCATGGTAGTTGTGCAGTAATTATACATTTGTAATTATAATTATACAAGGGGCGATCCATATATTCTGATAAAAATGAATTTTTATCAGAATATATGGACTTCCCCTTGTATATCTCTTTATTTTGGCTATTTTGATCATCATTATTTCTTTATGTTAACATAGTACTAAATACATCCATGAACAATGTAAATTTTGTGAATTCACAAGATTGAGTAACATCTTTATTGTTATATAAGAGTGTACTTTGCTCTATTTTCGTACCATTCATCAGCATCTCAAAGTCACAATCATGACCAAAAATAGCGGGGAGTTATCTTCCATTATGACTATGCTCTTTCCCATCACTCAAGCTCCCCATACTACTCTTGAAGAATTAGGGTTCACACAAGTCATTACTGCCCCATATTCACCAGACAACATTCACCAGATGAAGCACTATTAGGCTTCACTACATTTTGGGTGCTAAGGCATTATATGAGAGGTCATAAGCTTGATTCAGATAAGGGACTGATTTCAACGGCTTGAGCAAATCTTCAAGGGATACCAAACGGAGGACTGGAACACATCTTTATGGACTAAGTTTGTCAACAACGCATGTGCGTCCAGGCTAATGGAAACAATCATAAATGAAATGATCCTCTCAACAATGAAGAATACTTCTGAATAAATGACTTTAAGAGTACTGTTCTACCTCCAGTACAAGTAGGTTGAAGCAACCATCTCGGCAAGATGAATATGTTTTGGCAGGAAATTTTCAAATTAACATCAGTCAAAATTTGCTGACCCGCGAACCACTTTTACTTTTTTTGTAATTACAATAAAATAAATTGTAGATGTGATATGTATATGAAACATTGCTTGTCAATTCAGAATTATACAATGTACACTTGCTGAACATTTTAACTCAAATGGTTGAAAAATCTTGAAATGGCAGACCAATTCCCAGAACTTAATGATCACCCTGTATTTGGAGTAATACTTTGATTGAAATTCAAATTTTTATATCATTTTAGTCAATAAATAAAATTATTATTTTCTTTTTTCAGATCTGCGGCTGAAGTTTTTAACAGCTTTAATGTTGGTTGTGTTAGCCATCAGCATTGCAATTACAGCACTGAGGTTTGGAGTGGGCGTCTTACGGGACAACTTCGTAGCTCAGTTATCTACGCATTACCAAAATTCAGCTGAATTTTTGTCATTTTATGGCTTGCTCAATTTTTACCTTTACACAATGGCCTTTGTGTACTCTCCAACTAATAATGCTATGTATGGTAAGTTGCATAATTTTGAAAACTTTGGTAGAATCAAAGCATATGTATTTCTCATTGGTCAATAAAGTTGTCAAGTTGGTGAGTTGCATACTTTTGCAAAGTTTGGTAGAATTAAATTAAAGATTTATTGAAAAAGGCACAATGTCACCAGTGTGCAAGATTTGCCATGTTTATAATATCAAATTGTTTATGTTTTTCAGAATCTCACTTCAAAGACAATCCGGCACTATCTATGCTGAATGATTCTGACGATGAAGTGATATATGGGTATGTCGCTTGCTTTATCTTCACATGATAAATTATATTCACCTTAGGACATTCCTCGTATCATGCAACTGATACTGTATAATTTCTGTCTCTTAATTTGTAAAGTGTTGCCTTTCCAATAGTGGACATGAAATAGCAATGTCTTGACATAGATTAATATATAGTGCTGACATGGGATATAGAGCTTTTTGGAAATTGTGATTATACTTTTTAGATTTCTACTATAAGATCATTTAATAAATGGCTGAAAGAAGACTACATGTGTTAAAACAAGACCCTTTAATCTTATAAGTATGTGTTCCTCAGGGTTGCAGAACATGACATACTTTATATTGTATGTTTAACCTGATGGTAGATTGAGCACTTCAATCAATGTCCTTTAAAGGGTTTTAATATGTAAATGTGTATATCATTAGGTTCACATCTAACATGTAAATTTCTAGGAATGAGTCCCTTTAACATGTAATTTAACCTTGTTTCAGGTCTGATGAGGAGAGACATGCCCTGACTACGAGGGGAGGGCGGAGGATACCAGAGAGTGATGAGGATGCCTTCAACTAAATCACAAAATATTTATTGCTTACCCCACCCCCATGCTTTGGGTGAAATGGGTAATTATGAAATATCAGCCCTTCCCATGGACAACCTTTTGGCTCTTAATTCATATAGTGAAATGTGTCCTGATGATATGTGGAAAGCTTCACAATTCATTCCATGAATGAATTATTATTTCACAATTTATCTCGCTAATGAATACAAGCCTTGCTGAAGAATGTTGCTATATACAAGAATGGCGTAGTGTACCTTTATGGTCAAAATTATGGACTATTTGGCAGATTATTGAATTATGACTTTTTAGCATTTTCCATTCAATTATTCAGAAATGATTTAACAACTTAATGAAAAATCAAAAATTGTTTATTACACAGAAAATGTCAGGGAAGTGATGATCAAGGTGCTATACAGTGGATATGTACAACTGTACTGTAAATGTGAAATGTAAGCAAGTTTAATCAATGGAAAATTGAAAATATTTCATAGCTATATTATGTAATGCTCATGTGTCTTGTCTGTATCGATTTATATTGTAATTCTTAAGATTATCTTCATTTTCACAATTTTATTGATTTTTAAAAGTATCCATGTATTATACTATGATAATATTGATTGTTGACTGTACTGGAAGGTCTTTCTCATTTTATTGTCATTTGTGATTCCTGATGTCTGAAGATGAAGCTATGTGTCATTATTGGAAAAGAGAATGGAATTTCATGAGAGTACAGTTTCAGGAATTGTCTTTTATGAACATCCTTGATATGATTGATTGCGCTGTTCGTCCAGTATATTGAATGTATTGTATGTCCCTATTCTACGAACTTTTGGATCAACCCTCGTACATTAAATAATAAATATATTATTCCATTTCTAAGATAAACCTCTTGGCATAGAAGACAAAAACTCGATATGTGCATTTTAAATATCAACAAGATCCTTATAATCATCATACTCTTAGATGTTAAGTCCCATACTTTAAAGTCCCATAGGGGTAGACTCCAATGTCAACATAAATTCTACATTTAACACATGATGTTCTCTGCCTGTTAGCATATAAAATGTATATTTTTCTTGTTACAATATTTACTTTTGTTATTTAGCATGTTCCAATACTCAGAATACCAATTTAGGTAAAGTACATATACATTTATACAGTTTATATCATGGTAAATCTGGTTGGGTTAGATATAAATTTTAGTTGATTTCTGGTTAAGGAGCTCTAATTTTTTACCCAAAGTATATCCAGACCTCTCAAACTCATTTATGTGTACAGAGAACTCCAAAGATTTTGAGAATTATAGATAGAATATTCTCAACACATCTTTAAAGATGGCTGATGATATCCCACAATGCTTTGGGTTTGAAAAATGAGTGCAATTATCATATACGTGTAGATCTGTAAATAGCAAATGCTATAGCTTTGTGTGATATCTTGTGTATTATTGTGCCAAATACCATGCTGTAAAATCAAACATTTGATTGTATTGTAAATACTATATGTTAATACTACAGTTGCTATGGCACTTATCACCCTTCATTCGCAAGAGGGTGTGTCATGAAAATATTTAACTCCTGGTCAATATTTTTTCTTACTTATTTATTTCATTTTTTTGCTCTCACTATGTACAACACTCGGACATATATTTTATCCGTACTGCAAAATAACTTTTTAATATTACAGACCCATCATCATGTTTCCTGTACATGATTCAAAAATCATCCTACCCCAGGCCAAAAATAACTAACTTTTGGTTTTTTGACTGGTGCTTACATTACACCTACATGACCTAGAGGGCACAGTTGAAGATATTCTGGATATTGTAGCTCTGCATTTGAAGGATGAGTGGCCATGTCAGATTGGGGAAATAGGGGTATAATGCCAAAATTATAGATGTTACTTGCATGCCATGCAGATATGCATTCCTACTTTGCTGTGAGTACTCATTCTGTACTTTAAACCTGCACTTCTCTATTTATTTTCATGGGAAACATTTACAGTACATGTATTGAAATGTTTATATTTGTGAATATTGTCTTGGAAATAATTACATTTTTGAATATGGAAAATATAGAAATGTGAATAATATGATTCACCGTCACACCTGAATTTATTTGCAGATTTTCATGTATTTCATACATAGTTATTATTAATTTCAATCAATGATAATGTTCATGTTTTAATAAGGGCGTGAAAAATGTACAAACATACGGAAAGGGGAATGTAAATATTGAGTAATATATAATTTATTGGTAGGTTATGTACATGTACATTTACTGTATATACATATATTATTGTAGAAATCCATTCTTGTATGCATTATACATGTTATACATCGAAAGTAAAAAGAAAATAGATTTACAGTGTTTCTATCATGCATAATGAACAAATTGAATAATTAAACATCTTATATGTAAATTATATCATGGGAAACTTATTTCACTTCAGAACTGTTAAATCATCACTAGTATTAATTGTTTTAAGATCACGATGTCTGAATACAAAAAATAAATAATTAAAAAATAATTATATCTTGTTTTCTTTATATGTATGTATAATAAGGCTTTAATACAGTAAAACCTGTCACGTGGGACACCTTTGATACCCCTAAAATGTGTTCCACATATAGAGGTTGATAAGTCAGTTGGTCTGAGGGTTCTGAAGTGTTCCACTAAAAGAGGTGTTCCACTTAATAGGTTTCACTGTACCTGGTAACACATATTGGACTTGTGAAGACTTATGGGACAAGAACTGAATTTCCAAGTTTTGATATTTTCAGAGCTTTTTGGGAAAGAAGCTTGTTTCTTGGACTGTTGATGGAGCAAATTATAAGAAAAAGGGCCCCTTTAAGGATCTCTCATGCATTTCATGGAGTTTGATTTTGCAATAAATACCCTCTACTTATGGAAAGCATAGAGTTCTGTTACTGCAATTTTGATTGGTTAGATGGAATTTGATCAACATATCCTGATTGGGTAAGGTTAGATCAAAGGATTACCTGAGTGTAATTTATGAGCTCTTAAAACACTGGAAAATTATGTTTAATTCACAAAAAAGCAAATAACTGATTTATATATTTTTTTTTATTATATTTCATCAAAATCTTTTACAATATTTTTAACAAAAATATATATTAAGAGTAATTACAAGCCTTCTAAGTATATAATACTATTTAAAAACTTTATCTTGAATCCCAGGAATCCTGGATGCTAAGAGTTGAAGCCTATGCTTCCTGTATTCTAGTATTTATCACTAATCAAAAATGTCAGTCTTCTAATTTCATCCCATATTGCACAGACAATAGGCTATACAGATAAAAATTATAGATAAATTAATGATTTACAATATATTACACTGTTATTGTACTGTATCTCATTTGCTAATCAGGTTGAGCTGAGTGTTGCTCAACTGGTCATTGCTAGGTTCTCAGACAAACACCTCATACTTCCATTACACAGGAAAATAACAAATGCAAATGGTTTGTGATGCTATTTTAACAAGCTGGTCTCTTCTGTCTTGTTATGAAATACAGCAAAACTGTGCATACAAACACTTATCTAATCTGAATAACTCTCAATGTGAACACTTTCTCTGTCCTAATTTTGTATTCTCCCATTGACTACCATGTTAAAAAAATCTGATGAACACCTAATAATCTGAACACTTTTGGCCAGTCTCAGTGACATCAGACATGTTATACAGTATACATGTATTTTAGATACTATTAAGGACTGCGCTACATAGTGATACAGTCTGTCACTCTACCCCACCTACACATCTTTGCGACTGTGCGCAATACTGCACAGGTTAAGTAGGAATCATTTCGTGATAACAAGTTAACAACATCCTCTCTGAACCTTGACTTTAGACTTAAGGACTTATGATATCACACATGGACATATCAAAAGGTTGACAAATACAAATGTCATGTACAAGGGTCATGCAGTAAATACTTAATCAATCTCTGGACATTTCAACTGGATTCTGTGAACGTTTATCAAAATGAGAGTACTGTATTAGTTTGTATTGAATGACTTGTATAAATAAGTTGATATTAAAAAGAACTACAGCATAACCTTCTCTGCAATTTAATTTATATCAATAATAAAATGTTCCCATGATTGTTATGGTACCCATTATCTTTAGTTATTATCTTTTTTATTTGGTGCCTGTACACAATTTCAGCAAAACATGTATATAGCTTCACTTTTGTACAATATGTAACTGCCGCTCATATTTTTGAACTGACTTCATTTTCTTTCTATACCACCATAACTTTCGAGAAAGGCCATGTTTCCATTGACTATCATTGGAAACAATTGAACTTAATAGGGGACTCATGCTGCACAAATTTTAATTTTGATTTGAGTTTGAGCAATAATATTTAGCTTACAATATGATACAAACTTTCATATTTTCATGTCTAACATGTAACTATATTTGTACAATGTATTCTTGAAAATGTAGACTTAACATGGAAAATAATACTAACTTATAGGATTACCATTACTATATCATTGCAAGAATCTGATTCTGATTCATCAATGTATCACTGTGTGATCAATAATAATATATCTAACATCTCCCTGATTTTTTCAATTGATAAAAGTGTATTTTGCGAACTTCCGATCAGAAGTAAATTCCAATACTGAGCAATCCCAAAATTCCCTATTTTTATGTAGACCTGTATTTGGGAGAATAGGTCTTCAAAATAATTCAAATGGTATTACAATAACATTTTAAAAAGTGCTGATACTGCACATATTTTATCTTAATAAAATTCATGGCCATCAAAATAAAATTGCACAGGTACCAACTAACCACTGATTAACAGGTGTATATAACCTCTTAAATGACTATGCAATGTGTAACTACACGTAATAGTTCTAAGATTATAACCATCTCTGTTTTATATTGAGCATACTATATTATGCCTGGGTCACATTTGCTCTGATTCATCGGCCGGCGCCTGGCCGATTGAGTATTTTGTTCAAAATTGTATTCAGTTTTGAATATAATACTCAATCCACCAGGCGCCGTAGTGAAAATCGGAGCAAATGTGACATTACCCTGTACTCCGGCAGTCCGGTGATTGAGAAACTCATAGTAGGCTTATCTCTTTTTAATAGATATTGGATCTGTTTGTTTAGTAACAGAACTTCTGATATTCTTAGAACGCATCAGAGATCCTATTTTGACCCCATGATAAATTTCAAGTGTACTTTTATTCAGTATATTTTAGCTGAAAATCATCACATATCTTTAATTCCATAAAATAAATCACTATACAACATCAACACTATAACTGACTCTTGTGTTCAATTGGTGGTCTAAATTGTTGAATCAAGTCCCTGACCTGAGCTGAACCTTCAATATGTTGCCTTTCCATATAGTTTTTGCTATTTTGCTCAGTATCAGAGAGGAAGTAGCGATAATTCACCATTATCCCGCAGGAACTAGAAAGACCCCTTGGTGACACATCTGCCTTCCAGTTTAATCGCCACATGACTGCACCATTACGCAGGTGAAAATGAGCTGCAAATAAAAATGTTGTCATTTTATAATACCTTATTTACAGAACTCTTCTAGTTATCCTCAGATTAATTCACTTTAATTATTTTCTTGAATACATATATCATAAGTAAGGTGATAAATGGTATATCTTGCAAGGAAAGACATCTTCCTAATCGATTGTTAGTTAACACCATATAATGGATAACTTTTTGATCATAATGATGTGATTTCAGACAGGGGTATATTTAAATGTGTCAAGAATTCCCATAGGCTTTTATATATGGCCAGACTGATGTAGACAAACTGCACAAGTTGTAATACAAGGCCTTAGTTGCATTAATGCATGATCCCTCATAGTCTGATATTTAAAATTAAGGAGCAGCACTCACCAACAGGGTTCAAAGCATATCCTCTATGTTTCTCTATATACAAGTATTTAGCACACAATCTCATAAGGGGTCCTTCTAGAATGGTCCGTAGTGCCTCTGATACTGCCCAGCTATTGTCAAGTAGCACTTTTTTTATAGCCTCTAATGGGAGCTGGTCAGTCAGTGGCAGGTTGCTCATTATGGACTTTATTTCTTCTTCGGTGAATACCTCCTCTTGGCATGCTGTAAACATGAATGATACACTGTATAAATAATATTCTGTAACATGCTTGCAATTTATACTTTTAAATATTTTGAATCTGAAGTCAAATTTTACGTAACAATATCTAGTATGTACTGATTATAGACTGGAATCTTCAGAACCCAGTTGTTGTCCTGTCCTGATACAAAAGTCTGCTGTTTTGGAAATTGTGCTCTATTGCTCAATCAATAGATAAAGGATGATCTTATCAGTAAATACCAATGATAATCTATGCTTCCATTTTCTCTTTCATTTTGATTCATTTAGCTTTTGATCTATGACTAAAAATATAAAAAATAATGACCCATGGAATATATACGCACCTTGGGGTGTCTTTTTCATGTTATTGATGAAATATTGTATGATGTAATTTTGAATGAATAAAGTGAATTGAAATTGAATTGAATAGACAATACTATTATGAATGGTGTTCTATAATGTTGTTCGATATTGATGAATGTGATCTCTATTTAGAAATATTACTTTGAACTTTGAAAAATTGTTGATATAAATCCCCATGAACTAAGTTCGATGGAACAACTAAGGTTAACTTACGATTATGATGTAGGTGTTTGTTAATCTCAGTAATAAGCCAGTCTCTGAAGCCTGGGATTGGAGAAAGACTAGAAAACTTTGTCAAATTTCTAGGGTACTCAGCTAACAGTTCCCTCACCACACGTTTAATCAAATAATTGCCCAGGTCCACACCTTGTAAACCTGAAAATATAGGATTATGTAAATATAGGATTATGTAAATATAGGATTATGTAAATATAGGATTATGTAAATACAGGATTATGTAAATACAGGATTATGTAAATATAGTATTATGTAAATATAGGATTATGTGTGTCATGGGTTATCACAGTAAAGATTTTTCACATAAGATATAGATGGCATTTTCACTTGCAACCATTTTGCTGAATTGTCAGGACCCAGATCAATCTGCATATCTGAATACAAAAAGTCTTACCAAAAATATATTTTAAAACATGTACTTTGTGATCTTAACACATGGACAGTATGCAAATACAATTGAACATGTTTGTCCATTCCAAGTCAAAAAACATTTTCCTTCAAATGTCCCCAAGGTGCGGGAGGTTTATGTAAAGGGAATGGATTATACTACAGTGAGATACTCCAGGTAAGGATGAATTGGGCACATGAGCAGGCAGCCTCGTAGCCAGGTGGGGTTCGATGGGTTAGAGCGAACCCCTACCTGGCCAACAAATCTTTCAAAATCATGCAGTTTTTCACCATTCTCAGGGCCGTCAGATGGGGGGGTGCGATGGGTGCGACCGCACCCCCCTTTGACAACCCCCAAAAAAATTTGAAAAAATAAAAAATTTTGAAATTTTTTTTTGAATTTTTTTTTTTTTTCATTGACTCATACACTTTGAAAATGCCCAGAAAGCACCAAATAGCATCTCAAAATTGTAAAATTTTCTGGGGGGGGGGTTATTTATTTTATGTATAGTCTTTGACACTTTTAAAGTGCCCTGACATCATAGCTCCTTGATATAGTCAATGTTTCTTGGAGACTAACACTTACTCGCCCTTTGGCATCCCCACCCTACCTCGCTCTCTGGCACCCCCCCTTTAACCCCGCCCCCCCCCCCCCCCAAATTGAAAAGAAATTGTGATTTTTTCATATTTTTTGTTGAGTCATATACTTGGAAAGTGCCTATAGAAAGCACCAAATAGCAGATTAAAATTGCAAAATTTTCTAGGAGAGTTGGCCACCCCTCATATCCCACACAAAACAATTGAAATAATTCTGAATTTTGTGTATTGTCTCAGAGACTTTTAAAGTTCCCAGATATCAAGTAGCTCCTTGATATAGTCAATGTTTCTGGGGGACTAATACTTGCTCCCCCTCTGGCATTCCCACCCCACCTCTCCCTCTGGCACCCCCCCCCTTTGACACCCCTCCAAATAATGGAAAAAATTGTGATTTTCTCAAATGTTTTAATTGAATCATACACATTGAAAGTGTCCAGAGAGCACCAAATAGTGTCTTAAAATTGTAAAATTTTCTAGGAGGAGTAGCCCACTCCTCATACCCAAAACAAAACAATTGAAAAGTTCCGAATTTATTTCATATATTGTCTTAGACACTTTTAAAGTGCCCTGACATCATCAAATAGCTCCTTGATATAGCCAATGATTCTTAGAGACTAACACTTACTCGCCCTCTGGCATCCCCGGCCCACCTCGCTCTCTGGCACCCCCCCCCCTTTAAACCCCCAAAATTAAAAAAATTGAGATTTTTTCATATTTTTTGTTGAGTCATATACTTTGAAAGTGCCTAGAAAGCACCAAATAGCATATTAAAATTGTAAAATTTTCTAGGAGAGTTGGCCACCCCTCACATCCCCCACAAAACAATTGAAATAATTCTGAATTTTGTGTATTGTCCCAGACACTTTTAGAGTTCCCAGGCATCATCAAATAGCTCCTTGATATAGTCAATGATTTTTACTTGCCCTCTCGCATCCCCACCCAACCTCCCCCTCTTGCATCCCCACCAAACCTCCCCCTCTGGCATCCATCCCCCCCCTTTGACCACCCCCAAAAACTAAAGCATTCATTTACTCAAACTCATTTGCTCAGAATTAATCAGAGAGCATCTTGAATTGACAGCATTTTCCTGTGCTGCCCCCTTCCTCTCTTTAGAAGAAAAATGATTGAAAATCTGAACTTCTTTAAATTGTTTCTATTGATTAAAACACCTTAAAGTGTCCAGAAATCATCTTTAGTCTAAAATCAATAAAATACTACAACATAGGCTGAATGACCCCAATATAGGGAGTAACCGACCCCCCCCCCCCCCCTCTGACTTACGCGATTTGATTTACGCAGCAAAAATTGACAATTTCATATTCTCTTTAGTAAAAACCGCACCCCCCTTGGAGAAAAGTGTCTTACAGGCCTGATTCTGAGCACTTTTTAAGTGATTTTGGCCATTTTTGGACCAAAATTGTCACAAGTAAACCCCCTCTATGGAATTTTTCAAGAAGTGAACCCCCTTGGCAAATCCTGGCAGGCATAGATGAAGATAGAATGTGTAAAGAGATGAACGTCTCACCTTTTTGTGTTGATGTTATTGAGTAGAATACTGCAGTGGTTATTTTACTTGTATCTTCTGTGTCTGCTATAGTCTTGTTGTCACTCCCAGTTTCACGCACTATTGACTAAAACACATTGTTCTACTGTTAATACCAGTGGTCATTTCATAGAATAATGAAGTGAAGATTCATGTCATTTTAAGTACATGAACACATCGCAATTACTTACACATTAAATATCACACATTAAATTTAAAGGTATTTTATACTCGTATCATGATATGTGTCACAGGACAAAAATATTGCCAAAGGAATTTTCAACTTAAGGATGGGACATTCGTGAAAGGACATAAAACTGTTGCATGCCGCTTCATAAAACTTTGACAAATTTATCAAGGTGAGAACTCAAAAATCTCCACTTAACATCTTTAAAGAGTAAGCTACGAGAGTTCAGAAAAGACCACTAGGGTAGTTTTAACAAGTACTATGCTTTTTCCAAATAAGGGTACAGAGTCAGAGTTCTTCATAATAGTTTCTACTTCAAAAACAGATAATTCAATTTTTAATTCCAAAACAAGAACACAAATGTGTACAAAATGTCCCCACCAAGTGGTGATCCTGTGAAATGGTTATCCTGAAAATGAGTAGACAAGACTTTACCAACACAATTTGAGGACGGAAAATCCAAAGTGGCCACCTTAAAATTTACCCAGAATGCCAAAAATTTAGTCAGTTCTAGATTTTCATACTAAGAACCACCCCTGAAAATTTGAAATTGATCCGTCACACAGTTAACCAGAAAACATGTAAACAAGACTTTACAGACAAGATTTCAGGATGGAAAATCCAAAATGGCTGCCTTGACATTTACCAAGAATGTCAAAAAACTAATCTGTTTGTAGATTTTCATACTAAAAATCATCCCTGAAAATATGAAATTGATCTACCAAACGGTTCACCTGAAAACGGGTAGACAAGACTTTACAGACAAGATTTTAGGACAGAAAATCCAAAATGGCCGACAATAAAAAAGTCCTTATGAGTTTTACAGGCAAGATTTTAGGACGGAAAATCCAAAATGGCTGCCTTGACATTTACCCAGAATGCCAAAAAACTAATGAGATCTAGATTTTTATACTAAGAATCATCCCTGAAAATTTGAAATTGATCCATCAAACGGTTCACCTGAAAACGCGCAGACAAGACTTCACAGACAAGATTTTAGGACCGAAAAATCCAAAATGGCCGACAATAAAAAAGTCCTTATGAGTTTTTGCTGATTTCTTTTTACAAAATTATCACATATAACTACTGTTAACAATAAAGTAGGGTTTTACAGCAAAGTACATCTGAAATTATTTATAAAGCTACTAAATAGTTAAAGTATGAAAACTCAAAAACACCATTCAATATGATACAAAGTATTATCGCGCGCTAACTTTTCTTAAGACATTCAAAATGGCTGACATGACTGAGCTAGCAGGTCCAAAACCTAATCAGATCTAGAATGAAGTGAGCTCAACAAGATGTTAAAGTTTTAAAAGCAACTGTGAAGCAGTTTTTCTTAAAGTTTGCAGACAAGGATTTTAGCATTCGACTTCAAAATGGCCGACAGGAAGTAGGTATCGAGTTAATTTTTTTTCATCCACATCTGTATGCACTCATAAGTTATCCCTGAAAATTTGAAGGTGATATCTGTAGCGGTTTTGGAGAAAACTGCCGGACGTACGGACAGACGGACAGACAGACGGACAGACAGACGGACGGACGCGCCTAGGCCGACAATATGGCCCCACACTATGTGGTGGGGACATAACAATTACCTGAATACTATCTGATATATCGCTAGTGAGGGCAGTATGAAGGACCACAACAGGCTCAAGAGGCATACTATTGTGCGTGAACACAAAACAGCGTCTGTAGGGCCCAACTCGACGCTTCAGGTCTGCCCAATTACGAATAGGATGTACAGCCTCATAATCAGATATCTAAAATAATGAAAAAAATGTTTGCAGATTTTCAAATAAATAATATTCCCCATTAAAGAACTTTGATATACATACAATCTTTAGACAAAAATAGAAAATAGAACAATATTTCAACACATCTTGGTGGTGACATGATAAATACTAGGGTTCAGATGATAAACAAAAACCACGGAGTTGCACAGTTTTTAGGGAAACTATGAAACCATCGATGCTAAAGAAAATAGAAAATATACAAAATTTTTAAAATGCTCTTAATTTCTCATACCTTTTGAAGCATGTCACAAGATGATTGCCATGTGACCCTCTGCAGGTGTACAAGACCAACACTGAACCACACTGAGATCAGCTCCTTAAGGGAGTTACTTAAAGTCCTAAGGTGTGGGTTATAGTGGCCAGGGCCTTGGCTTGAGATCAAGTTCTGGAAAGAAAATATTTGTTAACCATGAAGTTTATAACAAATTTTGTCCAAATTTTATTCTGAAAAATATACAAATATAGGGCTTTCATTTGATATTTTTGTACATTAAACCTATATTATATGCACGAAAAGAAATCAATTCGTAATTTCTTAACCACATGAATATTTGGAAAGGATAAATGAGTTAACCTTCACTCAAAAAATCTAAACCAAAAGATTATAAATCTGTACTTACAAGAATATCTGCTCTGATGTCTACTAGGAATTTCACACCACCCTCTAGGTGTCCTATTTGTTTGAATAATACTTGGTACTTTGGAATCAGAGACTGTCTCAGGCGATCTTCAATATTTAACAGAACATTTTGACCACGCTCCTGAAATCAAATGATGTATTATTTAATTTTTATTCAGGGAAAGTTTTACATACAAAATATAGACAAGGCATTAACATGCATAATTGTCACCATCAAAAACCAACTGCCAAATTTTTTCACCAACTGATGAACACCATTCACAAAAAATTTGGAGTATGTCACCACTTCTGGTGATGACATAAAACATGCCCATGTAACAGATTAATGGATTGTTTATATCCTTTGCAGGAGTAAGTCTAGCTCCAGGCCCCTGCCAACAAGTCTGTGTGAGGTGTCTAGTCAAGTAGACGGGGGGGGGTCAAAGAGGTCCGTAACTAGACTATGCAGGACTAAATGTTGTCTACATTACAAGTAAATGTATAAACACTCCGAGCCAATCAGTCGCTCAGTCATGATCTCCGTAGTCTGTACTTTATGATATATAAGTTAATATATCAGCGACTGGCTCTGCAGAATCCTCTGATTGGCTGAATGTCAAAATCATTAATCATAACATAACCAGGCAATTCCTGGAAATAATATATTGACATCAAAAGGCAGTTACTAAGCTAATAAAGTGGAATATCATCTGTCACTTTTGCTAGAGATAAAATATACAGCAAGCCGAAAGCAATTGTAATCTATAAGCTTGAAATATGTACTCAAGACAATCGGGATGCAGGCAAAACAAGAATACAGTAAAACCTGTGTACAGTGAACACCCATTGACCAGTAGAAATGTCTTCACTGTAGGTAGGTGTTCACTAGAGAGTGGTGGTTTACTGTGTATAAACTTTTACATATTTTATCAACGTAAAAGTGTCTAAATGTGCTTTGTTCCTTTTTTTCATGAAAACCTCTGATATTTATGTACACTTGTTTTATTACAAAGTTACCTGTGCAGATTTGAAGGACTGGGATAGATGGAGAATGTTCTTGTGATTGACACCAAAGTCCTCTCCTAATATACTGAGGAACTCCAGCCGATTCTCTGTCTCTAATTCTGTGTAGAAAGATACAAGCTGCTTGGTTTTAGCCTGAAATCAATGTAATAAGTATAAAACTATAATTTATGAAGGGACATCCAGACACTTACATTTTGGATTTGAAGAAAAATGATGAATTATGATAACCAAATAATTCTGAAAATAATTATAATAAAAAACGTGCACATGGTAAATTACAATGCAATTTTATTTGCTCTTTGTTCTTGATTTTATTGTTCCTGGAAATATGCTATATGAGACTGCTTTAAAAGACATCCTTGTTTTACTCATATTTTGATACATGATACATACATATCAATGAGTAAAGAATTATGAGAGTTTAGAATAACCTACAAAAACTTTAACTAATAATAAACTACAAAATATTTTTGGCCCAAAAACGCCACTTTATAAAAAACACTATAACTTCTTTATTTACAAACCTATATACATCATATTTTGCAGTTATATGGTGCCAGTGGTCCTGAGTAATATAATAATATAATAGGTCCTTCACAATGCATGGCTAGATTGCAACTTCCAAGTTTCATTTGGTATGCAAATTATGATTTTGGATCAAACATTCAAAAAAAGTTATAGCATTTTAAAAAACTGGCATTTTTGGCCCATCCTGTATATATATAACAAAAAATATTTCTACGAAATTCCCATTAGAACATCTTACCTCAATGACATTAGAACTTGAGTCCTGGGCAGAAATGACATCAGATACAACTTGCCTCATTCTGTCCTTCAATTCAAACATTTTGCTATCAAGCCCTTGGGTTTCAGCCCCTTGTATTCCAGGCCCTTGTTTATCATGGCTACTCATTGCCAATTTCTGGAAGGCTAGAATGGGATTCGGTCGGTTGACTTGGTTCAGTGCCTGAAAGTGAAGAATTGTTCCCTTTAATAATGGCACAGTAGGCCCGTAGCCAGGGTGGCGAGCAGAGGGAGCGGCTGCTCCCTCCCCCTGGTCAGAAATTCTTTTGAAATTATGCAGTTTTTCACCATTCTGAGCACTTTTTGCTAATAAAAATTGGCATATTTTGACCACTTTCGGTCTGAATTGTGAAAATGAGAATTTTGCACCCATTTGAGAAAAATCTTGTGGAGAACACTGGGTATGTCAATGCAATATTTGAAACCATTGTTTCAGTGAATCAACTCACTCAAGCCAATATTGTATCCTTGAGATATCCATCCTCTATTCAAAGATCAAGAATATCAGAAGGAGGTATGAGTTCTTGACACTTAGATGATGTGAGATGTGTGATAGCAATATATATTCATATTGTATTGTGGATACCAGTTACTTCTAGTTGATGCTGTTACTGTTAAACTCTATGATATACTTGCAATATTTCAAGAAAAAATAGACAGATTGCAATAGCTCATTTAGTGAGCTAAAGTGTTAAACAAGGAATTCAATTCAGGCAAAATGTCACCATCTGGCATTTGTTACGAATGCCAGGCCCATAGCCAGGGGGAGGGGGGGGCGTTTGGGGGTTTGAGCAAAAATTCTTTCAAAATCATCCATTTTTTGTCCATTTTTGGGCCAAAGTTGTCCAAAGTAGACCCCCTGGAACTTTTTAAAAAGTGAACCCCCCTTGGCAAATCCCGGCTGAAACGCCGACCTCCAAACACCAACCGCCGAAAGTTGAAGACTAAAACGTCAGAGGTGGTGACAAATAATCAAAAGTTAATCTTTCCTCAATATTATGATTTCTATAAATGTTGACAATAGTCAAAATTAACTTGACAGGGATAAGAGATCACCATTATTGTCAAACCTTAAGTCTTTTCTAGGAAATCTACTCAAGCTTAAAGCATATAATCTATGAATATTGTGATGACACTGTGACATAGACTTTAAAAAGAGAAGCATCCCATTATCGTGACTGTGATTTGCGTCATAGGAAGAGCATAAAAACATGATGAGCCAACGTGCATTATTAATTGATTTTGAGGAAAACTTGAAAATGAGATGCTTTAAATAGTAGGAACGTATAGACTGGTTGATATCAGGCTAAAATGATGCCCTTACCATCTTTATCAAAATGGTAGGCGTAAATCATATTAATTTTTTTGGTCTATTAATTTCCACCTTAAAATCATGAGTGTCTGCTTTAAAATTCTGGCCATGTCAAGATTTCTTGCTACCAAGAAAATGCTTCCTATCCTTTGTGGAAATGCCAAAATCATATGGAAGCTTCCATTGCAGGCCTCCTAGACTTAAACTCATGAAGTCATCAGTTCCGACTTTCCACCTGAACAACGTTCTTACAATGTGAATAATCGCGCATTGAGCTACCATATTGCGAACTACACAGCTGATGACTGCGTGAGTGGAAATTTAACAGGCATGCATTGTTTGAGGTACAGTGGCATGAACTGATTGATAAGACTATGAAATTTTCAAGGAATTCACGCCACAACACCCATAGTGGTTTGTATGATTGTTACATTCAGCATAAGATAAGGAGAATATCTTAGATAAAATCTTAGGAAATGAATTAATATACTGAATTTCAATGAATTTCAAGCAATTCATGTCACTGTACTCTTAAGCTTCAGAAGGATCCAGGTGAAGGAAGTTAATATATACAGAATTTCACTGAATGAAAATGAGCGAAGAAAGATTTACTTCCAGTTTTCTATTTATGTTCAAATCAATATCAGAATTGGCCTAAAACCATGCCAGTCACCAAGAACCAGTATTGGTCCCTGGGCCTAATATACATGTAAGGTAGTAAATAGTACATATTCTACAGGGTAACACAAAAAAGGAACCCTCTATTTTTAATTATCATGGAATCTTCATGAATTTTCATGTGTAAATAGTGTTCAACACAGAAAAACAATCATTATGGTATACAACATAGCATAACTGGAATTATATTTTCTATCAAAGCATTCTATCAGGCTAAATCACTAAAAAATGCAAGATTGGGAATGTGTCTCTCTCAATATTTACCAAACAGGTTGCCATGCATACTTTACAAAGATTTTCAATAATAGTAGGCAACTAAGACATACTAAATTATAATTTTTATGAAAGCAATAAAAAAAGACATGATTAAATGGTAAAGACAGAAATCCCAAATTCAAAAATTTACATTAAACTTGAATGTTCTTAGACAATATTACATTAGGGGATAGAAAACCTCTATGTCTTAAATCCCAGAGTCATTAACAATGATTGAGTACTCTATCTACACAATTAAATTCATAAAGATGCCATCATAAATGAGAAAGTTATTCCAAAATTAGAGAGTTGCATTTTAGTATATACATGTAATTATCCAAGATTTATTTCTTTAAATAAAATAAACTTTTGAATGCATTAATGTACAGGGATGGGCAGCCAAGACAAAGTAATGATCATAACTTGCATTTCTGTGGTTCAGAACTTCAGCATATCTTTCTCAAATAATATGTGTAAAGAAAATGTTAACATGCAGACTGCCATATAAGGAAATTAGGATATTTGTCATCTAATTGTCACGTGAGGTTTTCTTGTAAACAACATTTTTAATGTTTAATCGTAAAAAGCACCTTTGGTCAACAGTTTAAGATTAGAAATGCTTTAAATATAACCTTTAAACCATTTAAGTATAAAAAGTTTATTCTTTAAGCAGACTAATATATTATTTGACCATCCTAGTGGAAAAATCTTTCAAATCCTTTGCACAGATCTTTTAGAAAATCTGAATTTTTATACATTAATTGATTCTGAAATAATATAAGGTTCTCACTTTTACTTGTTGGCATGGTGGTATAATATTTTTGTCAATATACATAAGAATAACAATATTAATATAGAGAGAGGTTTTGACGTCAATAAATTTCCAATATTATAAATTGAATTTCCAACGCAAAACAAAAGCATATTGGTTAAAAGCCCATACTTAAGACTTTACAGAAGATAATCATCTAAATCATAAAATGTGATTTTCCCCAACCTTTTGACAATTCATGACACATATATACAATATTATTAAAAATAAAGAGCCAAAACCTCAAATATCTATGAAATAACTCAATAGAAAATGGCAATGTCAAGAGCATGGAAATTCCATCTAATATTATAAAGCAGCTATGTGTCACTCAAACATATATTTTGAGTTATTGTAAAAGATAAAAGATTTCAGAATGGTTGCTAGATTCCTAAAATATCAGATGATGAAATCATTTTATGTAAAAAATGATATTTTGCAGTAAAACCATTAGAACATTGAAAAATTTAACTGACCATAATCTACAATGATTAATAATATTTTGCATAAAATCAATACAAAACATTGAATAAATATATGTCATTTCATGCTTGATTTTCAATATGAATTTCATTCCAGAGTAATATGATATTGACCGAGGGAAATATGATATTGACCGAACGAGCATTGCGAGTGAGTGTCCTCAGGGATTTTGTTCATGGTGCTGAGGAGAAAGCAGGCCGTTCTTCAACTGTCCCGCAATTTGCATATTTGTCACCCATTTGTTGAAGAGATTGAAATCACGCCTGTTTTTTTGGCGTGACAGAATGTCAAGCAAATATGCATTTTTTCAAATCATTGTGAAGCAAAAATGTTTCAGTTCAAGCAAAAAAACGAATGCCGAAATAATCGAACACAGTTATTCGGAAGTTTCACGCGACGCATTTGCTTTGTTTTATCTTGTTCCTACCTGGAGGGAGATGCCCAAGAATGAATATTATGTTAAAATCAAGATAATAGCGAACCAAAACTACAATTTTTTACCTTTTTTAGTGTGATGAATCCTCCCCTTGTCTCATCTTTTATTACTTCTTTTCTATATGATACAGATGATTCTGTAGTCGAGTCTCTATGATTTTTTCCTCTTTGATTCCTTCCAGACCTTCTCACATTTTGTTTCTTAGTGTCAATATCTTTATTCACTTTAATATTTGATTCTATTTGATGTTTTCCAGTTTCAATATCATTTGTTTGTTTGTTTGTTGTTGGATTGGGCCATGCGATACCACATTGATGTAGCCAGCTGTTGCGTGGAATAACACTTTCGGGAATATATAAACGAGGCATTGGAAATGATAATGGTTTTGGAATTGTGAGATCCAACGCACCATTCGTATCACATATCTCAGAATTATAATGTTCAACAGGAGCTACAACTTGAAGGAATCCATTTTTGTTGCTATATTGACTAACAAATCCATTGGTATGGTAACCATTTTTGGGAGATGATCTGTTTGAGAAATTATGATACTCATCCAAGTCCACAAACTGATTATTGTTATTCAAACCTTGTGGTGATGGTGTTGTAAAGTCACGAAGCTGCTCAATTGAAGGAATCACATTTTGTGAAACGTCAAAATTTGAATTCAAAGATGGAGTATTTAAGGCTCTAGTGTTTTCTATGCTCTCCAAACTATCACTACTTTCATCTTTTATTTGTGCACTATAACATACATCGTCATGTTCATCTGAGACCTTATTTCCTTCAATATTATTTTGCTGTTCTTCTGCATTTGGTTCAACATCATCAAGTTTGGTATGCTTTATTTTCTTTCCAGTTTTAGCACTAACTCCAAAATTACTATTTTTTCTTTTTCTGCTTCCACTATATTTAGTGTTCTCATCCAGTAATATCTGTCTAACAATTTTAGACTTACTTTTCTCAAACTCAAGATCATTAGGGCTTAAATCTGGTTCATGTCCAGAATTTTCAAATTTATCCATGATTTCCTCTTTGATGTGATCCATTATTTTATAACTGATGTCAGTATCTGAAGAATTTCCAGAGTTTGGTTTCGTCTCTTGTCTGGCATCAATGTCCCTGGGTGACAAATTTAATGGTACATCTGCATCAACATTATCATCAGACTTTGCTCCATCACTGCTA